GCCTCTGCCTCTGCCTCTGCCTCTGCCTCTGCCTCTGCCTCTGCCTCCACAGAACACGTTGAATTTGCTGGCTCTGTTGTGATGAATGATTCCTCTTGAGGTTCCAGTTCGACTTTGGCGGCAGCAGTGACCTCCACAGTACCCTCACTCTCTGCGGTGGGCGGCAAACTACTTTCCACAATAGTACAACTGGAGACCTTAGCTTCCTGATCTATAGGTGATTGGTCAGTTGGTGCATCATCATTTTCCTCCTTGTTATCGGGACCTGCATTGGTAAGTGGTTGCTCAATTGGCTTCTCATGAGGCACAGCATCTGGATCTTCCTTTTCTGATGAAACTGCTGAGACGTGTTCACCATGATTATCCGCTGAGACCTTAGCAGCCTCCTCAGCGGGTTCCACAATTGATTCGTCAGCTGCTGCTTTACCATCTTCATCTTTATTTTCTGGATTTGTGTTGGCTGATGGGTTTTCTGCCTCTATCTCACAATTGCAAATGAGTGGTTCTGTAGGTGCTTGAGGCCTGTCACAAAGGGGTTCATTACTCACATTTAAATGTTCAAAATCAACTTATATATAAGTGCAGACATTGGAGAGATGTTCTCATATACTAACTTTTCATCATCTGCAGTCTCCACTGTTGATTTCTCAAGGTGGGCATCTTCAGGGGCAGGATTAGTTTCATCATTTGCTTTATACACCGAATCACTACAAAAAAGCAAAAGTCAGATAAAGTCCATGACACAAGTGCCCTATACAAACTCTTAGTAATTCGTACAACTACAGAGAGTACAGAGAAAACATGAAAGAAATAGGCAAGTTATTTCATAGAGAAGCTGTCAGCACTAACAGCTCGATCTGATTCACATTCAACACAATGGATAGATTAAACTGCATCTTTTCAAGAAGAGCACTTGGTTTTAAAAAACTTATTGATTGAAGTGTAAGAGTAATAGGCACAATTAAAGGAGAAAATTGAGATTTGTAACATGAAAGCTTGCTAATAGCTGTTTCAAAGGGAGTAATATACAGCATGGGCTTTGAATAACCATATTTCAAACATTCAATCAAAGCCAAACAATTATGATAACTGTTATTCTTTTATGCATATTACATTGTGAATATGGAGGAAATAAACACATCAGACAAACTCTTTTTCTATAGAATGATCTAAAAGCTGACATGTGCTTGTATGAAAAACTGTGCACCGAATGCCTGAGCAGCATGAAAGGCAAGAGAATCAGAGACTGATTGAACTAAGCTGATGAATTAGGCCTTAAATGTCAGCAAAGCCTTTATTAATAATGTAAATATCACCAGTCACACATTACTTGAAAGACTGTAAAAGGAAAAGTTGGGGAAAGAGTTCATTTTATTGGCAAAGAGATCCTGTCTTGTTACTGATACAATTCCTTCTAGGTGCAATCTCCAGATTTTAGGGTAATGCTGTCATCTACTGAAAGTTAAGCACAGTGTGCACCGTTCAGCGTGAAGGACCAGACTTAACGTCTCTTCTGGCGAGCAGAAACGACTAATGTGATAATATTTGTGTCTAACGTCTATTTTTGCTGACAATCAAATAGGAGGGAAGCAAAAATGTCGATACGCTTCCTTTCCCAGCTTTGAGAGTTGAACGTTGTGTCGTTGCTTTAATTGGTTGAAAAACGGCCTGACTCCACTTCCGGTTTTCTTCAGCTGGTTTGACTTCAGCAGGTAGCAGCTTCGCGCCGGGCTACGAAGTGTGCCGAATAAATTCAAATTTCTGCTCCTGACTAGTTTACGGCAACTTGTGTGGAGTAAACATTGTACATGTGTTATAAATGTAGCACTGCCCCTAAAAAAATCGTTTCGTACAAATACCTTAGTTTGGAAACAGTTAAGGGTCTGCGCAACAACCAGGACAAGACGGCTCTTCATTTGAGGCAAATTGGACGAGTATCCTTCTCGATTTGTAAGTCTGGTGTGATTTTTTCCTTTCTACATTCGCATGAGGACAATTAGAACTAATATAGAAAAACAGGGAGTGTAATAACAGAAACAAATAAGCGGATAACCTGATAGGTGTCTGTCCGCCGGTATTGCCGTGGTGCGTTCAAGGACTAATTGGGATTTTGAAAATCTTTGTGTTAATGTAATGTAATTTTACGCAAAAGATCGAAAGTACCGACCAGAAAGACCTCAGAATGATCTTGTAAGGGTTTTTGAATGTGTGAAACTGTTTTTCTTGTAGAAAAAAAATACTTTTCCCATATATTTGTCTTTTTTGTTAATCATGGATATCAATACCTTAATATACCTACAAAGAAGTAAATTGTGTTCATTTAAGTACCTACTATTTAATGATTTTGTTATTACTACTTTGATTTCTATTTTTTCTGTGTTTTATTCATATCTGGACTGTCTGCGCCACTCTAGAAAAAAAAATGCCATCCAGAAACCATCTGGACAAGATAGGACGGAAGAAAAAGAAAAAATGGACAGAGGATGCCATGGAGCGTGCACTGATAGAAGTGAAGTCTGGAAGGAGCACAGTGAGACAGGCTGCCAAGGAGTTTGGAGTGCCGAAGTCCTCCCTTGGCGACCGAGTGAGCGGGCGGGTGACACCAGGGAGTCGCAGTGGGCCAGCTCAGCTTATAGCATCTGCTGATGAGGAGCTGCTGGTAGAGTTCTCCTTGTACATGTCTAAGCATGGATTCCCACTTACCAAGCAGCAGGTGGTGTCCTTTGCAACATCGATTTATAAGCGGCAGAACCAGAGGATGGTGTTCTGCAAACTGGGCCAGACGTGGTGGCTCAACTTTAGAAAACGGCAAGAAAACAACATCACAATCCAGCCCACAGAGAACGCAGTCCGCGGGAGGACGGTATGCGTGAGAAAGGAAGCGGTGGATCAGTTTTTCTGTCTGTTCAGCACTCTCCTGGACAAACATGGGCTCAGAGACAAGCCTCACCAAATCTATAACTGCAATGAGACGGGGTTTCAGCTGGGCAGGAAGAGGGTGGCTCTTCCCAAGTCTGGCAGTCCGGGCTGCAAGCCAGCGCCAGGCTCCAGGGACCACATCTCTGTCCTGGCTTGCTTTAGTGCAGCTGGAGAGGACATTCCTCCATCTATCATCTACTCGAAAGCCTATCCGGGGGGGGTGTGTTACAAGACGCAAGGGCCGCCAAATGCCCGCTACGGGTGGTCGGACTCGGGCTGTATAAACTCTGACCTCTTTAAGAAGTGGTTCCTAAAACATTTTCTCTGTCACGCGCCAAAGGTTCGTCCTCTGCTGCTGATCTTCGACGGCCACAAGGCGCCCGTGAGCCTGGAGGTGGTGGAGTCGGCCCGCAAAGACGACGTCATTCTCCTGTGCCTTCCGCCTCATTGCTCCCACATCCTGCAGCCTCTTGACGCCGGCCCCTTTCAGGTCCTGAAGCAGCGCTTCGCGTCGCTCGTAGGGGATCAGGGCTGTGCCGCTGACGCCCAATATGCAATCAGCAAGAAAGAGTTCTCAGGTGTGTTTAAAAGAGCATACGAGGCAGTAAAGGAAGAGGACGGCGTCCGGATTGTGAAGGAAGGCTTCAGGAAATGCGGCATCTACCCGCTAAACCACTCTGTCGTTGATGATGGTCACTTGCTGCCATCCCATGGCAGCAGCGCCTCGGCCGGAGGCTCCCTGATGCCAGCACAAAGGATAAACTCTGTAGAGGAGCTCGCAGCTGCCGGACCCTCAACCTAGATCAGCACTGATGGCGCCTCAGAGCAGACCGAACAAAACCCAATCTAGTGGCTTTTCCAATCAAAACGCTGAATGATATCACGCGGATGTTGTGTCAGGCTCCCCCAGCAGAGAGCTCAGTTTGTCGGCACACCTGAAGAACCAGACGTGTCAAAAGTAATCTCACTTCAACAATGGGCTCAGATTTGGTGGTTTAACTTCCAGCAGTAAATCTGTCGGAGCAAAGAAGCTTTTTAAGGAATAACAGCGGGCCTCAATTACACTCCACAGGAAGTTGTCTTTGTAAGATGTTTTAAGGATTGTTTAATTTAGACAGTTTACAAATTGCAGAATTAGATGTTACTTAAAGGCCCTGAGACCCTGCAGCGACAGTCAGATGTTTTGGAACATCTGAAGTCTATAAACGTCTGTCATTCTTTTCTTTACTGTGTGTGATTTCTTCTGCATGGTGTGTTTCTCCCTATTTTCCCTTCTCTGCTTAACCAAGTGTTGCCATGGCCGCTCCTGCATCAGAGCTAATCCTCAGACTACACACAGACCACTACCTCAAAACATTGCCCATTAGGTCCTGTGGAGTAGTAGTGGATGTGGCGTGAAACGCAGCGCCTCAGTGCTCGAGTGCACAGAGGCTCAGGAGGACTGGGGGCTCGCTGTGTAACAGACAGGAGGTGATTACTTCATCCCTGTAGCCATCTACAGGGAGCTGGTGATTTATTAGCCAGGCTTTGTGCTGCAGTTTAAACCGAGGATCTGGTCTTATGAAAGCCACATTTAGTCTTGGCTCCAAGAGCTCACATGTAACGACGGGCTGAGAGGCACTTTTAGTAGAATTCCTGCATAAAGCCACAGCCATATAGGATGTTTTACAGTTGTATAAAAGTCTATGATAAGGATGCTCAGCTGTTAAGCTGAAAGTGTTACTAGTGAAGAAAAAGAGATTAATTTCTTAATGGGACACATTCACTTCTGATCTTTTGACTTGAAATACTGAGTTGATACGGCATCCAGCTGTTAGCTGTAACTCAGCTGCTTTTGCTCTGCCTGGCCGTGACATCCGGTGACCCTTTGGCCAGATGGATGGTTCATGTTCAAACATCAGCTCGCTCGGCATTGCCAGCGACGTGCCCAGCTGTTCAGTTCAAGCTTTCTGTAAGACATTCGGCACCTCTGGAATGACTGTGAAAGCTCTTGTCAGGGCCACAGATACAGATGTGCCGTCCCAAACCTGTGATCATATTCACAGATACGGTCCGTCTCTTCGGCTGAACTGACAAACAGGCTTTTCCAGTTTCCTTCGGAAATGCTGTGTATCAGCAGCAGAGGGTAACAGACACACAGTACTAGCCGGTGTGGAAAGTAAACCTGAGGGAGAGGTGATTCAACCTTTTTTATTTTTTCCCTGATTTACACATTCTGAGTTTTCTTGGATATTAAAATGCCCTAAAAGATGCATTTCTTTCCTAGATATTTAATAACACTGAAAACTGTTATTAAATTTGAAGGAGTGTCTGTACAGATGAATGTGTTTCTGTGTGGGGACTCTGTGTTATTGCCACAGAGAGAATGACTGTATGAGGAAAAACATCTCAGGGAGGAAATCCAGAATAAAGATGATTTCAAAATGAACTTGCCTCCTGATTTGTTCAGAAGCTTGGGGTAAAAAGAGGGGATCCACTGGTGGCTGTGTGTCATTTTCCATCCAAGACAGTGAGTTACTAATGGGATCGTGGTCTTAAGGTGGTTGATACACACCCATATATTGATATATGAAATGACTGTCTAAACAGTCTGTTAATAACAGATTTGTATGAGTAGTTATTGAATAAGATTTAATATCAGAGCTGTTTTTAGGTCATTCCTTCAAGCATTGAAAATAGGAAAAGCCTTGATGAGAACAACGTATTTATATATTATAAAATTCCATTCAAAAATGTTTTTTTTTAATTCAATTGAGGGTACAAAATAAACTGACCGTTGGAAGAAATACTAATAACGGAGTGCTCACTAACTCTCAGATCAAGTTCAGGTCACACAGCAGTGCCCGGCAGGGTTGCCCACAGCCAAGTTAATGTTTATTTATGTTAATTTGACAGATGGTGATTTGTGCCTGCAGCCTGGAATATTTTTAGTCAGGATTCACTTATGCAACAGAGTTAAAGGACAATCTCAGTCTGACTTTCAGAACTGAAGCCACTCCTTTTCTCTAAGATCAGATTAATTTTACCAAAATATTCCAAATCAAAGGGTTTGATTTTTATCAATCAGATGGATGAAAGATTACTTTTTATCAGGGTGTATGCTCAATCCTTTCTTTGAAATAACTCACCCGAATCTCCTGGCTGTGAGCAAGACGTAGGACTTCTGTTTCGATAGGGCAGGTTGGCTCTCCACTTCATGGACGTTTCTGCAAGACACCAGAAGCTGTTGCAATCGTGTTGCAGAAACACACCTTTTGTTCTTCTTTTAAAGGGAAAAAAAATATCTAGACACAAGAAAAACCTGTACAGGTGGTTGCATTTATTTTTCAAGATGCTCAAATATGTTGAAGTACAACAAGAGGCATGCAGGAAAGCTGGACATCTTCAGTTCCTGGAATGTGTTAATCAGCCACTCAACTTGACATCCTTTGATTTGTGGATCCAACTGCCATCCCTCTTCAGTGTATGCCGCACTCGAATGTTTTGTAAAACCTGGTTTCGGTCAACATCTGCAACATAGATTTTACGTCACCACTGCGAAGCACTGATGTAGATCTGAAGTGTTTGTTTTATCATTATAAGCCAAGAATATGATAAAAGGTTGTATGGCTTGCCTTTTGACATGATGCCGATGTTTCTTTGAATGCTTAACCTGAAGAAAGTGAAAAATTAGAAGACTGCAGCCACTAATGAATAGCTGAAATAAAGATTAAGGCACACTCTGTAAATATTTTGCCTTATATTTCGCTCTCCACACGTGCACTGTTGACATCAGAGGGGTTTAATGAGCTTGCTTCAAAACTTGTAAATCTTTTTACTCATCCTGTGGAAGCATGCATTATATGGAACCACATAAAATGAACTGTGCCCAATTTAATAAAAATTACTTCAATATAATTAATTTCTTAAAAGAAATCCCATATTAGTGTGCCGGGTGTAATAATGTTCCACACATGACGGTCGTGATCCATTCATTCTTCCTTATTTACATGTCACATCTCATCATCTTGTGCATATTTTCTGTCTTCTCCATGAGCCTCTGTTAACATTTTTGACCTGCACTTTGTTTTTAATCAAGTAAGATGAATCTTTATGAAGATGTGCCAGCGCCAATTAATCAGGTCAAATTATTCATGCATTGAAAATGAAGGCAATTCCCCCTTTCTAATGAGTCCTCACTGCAGATACGTGTCAGTTAACATGAAATCAGACATCGTGAAGTCCAGCCTTCCTATCATGCACTCACCTGTACGAGTCAGCTTTTTCGTTGGAGCTTTAAGAGTCCTCCCGACTTAGTGGCACACAGGCAGGCAGGTAGAGATATTTTAACCCTGAGCCTCCGCCCCCTGTCATTTAAAATTCCTCCCTGTGGAAATGATGAGTTGTGTCCCCAGATGCTGCTCCATGGGCTGACTTCTTTTTTTTTTTTTTTTTTGCACCTTTGCTCTAGTGTAAACGGTCACGTTCCAGAGAGGTTTTCAAACTGGATTTTCATAACTCAGAAAGTTCAGAGGAAACATTTGGTTGTCTCTCTAACTTTAAACCATTTTATCTCAAGTAAGTTTTCCTCTCAATTCAAACTCACAATATTAACTCTTGCATCCTTTTTGCTGAGATAATGTTAGAAATAAGTGCTTTCAGTCTTGTTTTACATGTGGCCTAAACACAAACATGTTGTTCCATCTGAAAGGATATCAGGAATCAAGAAAAGCCTGAAATGAATGTCCTTGAAGTTTAACCTGCTGGCTTTTCACTTCCTTCACTGAATATCTCCTCTGCTCAAAATCACTCAAGCAAAAAAATGTTGTTCTTGCAAACTGACACAGGCAGCCAATCATATTTGTTTTCACTTTAGATCCCCATGAAAAAAAATCTATTTTGTATAGTTAAAATTTTGGGAGATCATTTGATTAGTTTTATTGAACCGGGAAGGTGTCCATCAGATCTCAGCTGATAAAGCCAAAGCCATCTGCAAGCATTTTAAAACATATGTACAGTATCTTACAGATTTTTCTCACTCTAGTTGTGCAACCTTATATGTCAAAAGGATGCAAGCTTTGGGAGCAAATATTTAAATGCTGTGTGGAATCCAGCAGAGCCTCATTTGTTGCCTCAGCTTTGAACCTCAGCCAACATACTCTCAACAAAAAAAAAAATCCTTGTAAACCTACATTCTTACAGAACATCAACACATAAAGTTCATGTGATGCATACAGAGGGTACATCTTGTACTGATCTATGAGTTTGTATATATATATATATATATATATATATATATATATATATATATAGAGAGAGAGAGAGAGAGAGAGAGAGAGAGAGAAAGGGGTGTATTCATTCTATAAAATGTGGAATTGATGGCAGTTTTCAGACTAAAGACCTAAACTGTGCACACCGTGTTTCTGTCTCTTTGATCAGCTTTTATCTACATATTGTAATAACAATCTTTGTCACGTTTCTTCATGCGTTGCTTGCAAGTGTTTCCAAATGTTCATCAGATTAAAAGAAAAATTTGATTTTGTAAAAATATTGTTAAAACTCACAGTTATATTCACAGCCCCTTTTTTTCTTCATCTGCATTACTTGCACATAGAAATGTCTCACAAATAAAGTCTTGAACAACTTGTAGTGAGAAAAACATCCCCATTCTTCCTACCACTCTATAATGATAATCTGCTGCAGAAAATATTGACAGGATGCTGAACAAGAGCACTGATCATTCCACAGTTTGACATGGAAGGAGACCTGATTTATGCATGCTGTACTGAATGATGAAAAGGGCTTATTGAGAAATGTACATCATGTGCACAGGTGCAGCATTTGCCCATAATTGTAGAGACAACATTGCTCGCTACTCCTGATGTGTGGCTTTTAGCCAAGATAGTTTTCCGAGTAAATTCCTACAACCGTTTTGTGCAGCAATATGACGAGAGCATAATTCGTTTTATGCACACGGAGCTCAACATCTAATCGAGAGCCGTGTTTCATTTGTATTTTATTTTACGCCAGTACTTAAACGCATCAGTTCCGCAGACAGTTCCCCCCCCCCGGAAGTGACGCAACGCGCTGTACTGCTTTTCCCTTTTGTCGTGCGGTAGCAGCGTTGTAAGTCTTGTGCCTTTTGAAACATATTGATAAAATGCTGTTTATTTAAAGCCGAGGTAGTAATCTACACTGTTGTTTTCTTACACATTTGTTTCTGGACCTATTTAGCTGTCAGAAAAGCCCAACAGCAACTCGCCAGTGCTGTCGAAGCTTGGTAGCCTGCTTGCGCTCATTAGCTAGCAGGCTAACTTTTGTTTTGAAGTCTTAATAATCATTGCTTGCTTTACAATATATGATATGAAGATGTATCATCAATAAAAGATTTTCGCCCAATATAGTAACGATAGTCCCAACAGTGTACTGTGGAATTTGATAATATAGAGATGATCACCTGGAGTATTTTTTTTAACCCTCTGTCTTCCAACATCAGAGCCATCAAAGATGACTACAGCTGCAAGACCGACGTTTGAGCCAGCAAGAGGAGGGAGAGGGAAAGGAGAAGGCGATCTGAGTGCCCTCTCCAAACAATATTCCAGTAGAGATCTTCCAGGTCACACAAAGATCAAGTACAGGTCAGAAGAGCAGACATGAATAGAATTGCTTTGGATTGTTACCAACTATATGCCAGATTTATTATTTTCTTTTATAGAAGTGCAGTTTTTAAAGTAACCTTTTGCCTAAATGATTATACGTCCATCCAAAGCGATGGCAGAGGCTACAGAAAGTGCACCAGAAATATCAACATCTGGATGGACTCAGAAACTGTACCAGTCTTACCAAAGCTGTGATGGGGGGCTTTGTGGTTTCTTGTCTGATAACATATTGAATGTAGGAGCATGAATTGGAGCATAAGAATTCTCTGTGTATCTAATTCTTCTTTGAGTGAGCGCTGTCTACCTCATAGAGAGGATATACTTCTTATCTGTCATTTCTTAGTGTGACCTCTCTACTGCAGAGAGTGCACACATTATCATTACTGAAAGGTTTCTTCAGCCTATTAGGCATGCTAAGGCTAATGATTGTGCTGGAGTACCAAAAAAATGCTCTCCAATCTTCAGGCAACCCACCCAGGATGCCCCAGAGGAGGTCCGTGCCCGTGACTTTCGCAGGGAGCTCGAGGAAAGGGAACGTGTTGTCGCCCGCGACAAGACCAGAGAGAGGGGACCAAGAGGTCACTAAAACTGACTTTTGTTTTTTTTCTGATTAAAAACCCCTTTATTTGCAAAAAAACTGCACTTTTGAGTAGTAATAGTAATAATAATAATTATTATTATTATTATAGTAATTATTTTGATCTTGTAAACTTTTCAGAGCACACAACATCATCCTCATCCTCATCATCTTCGTCCTCAAAGAGACCCAGGCTGGATCAGATCCCAGCAGCCAACCTCGATGCTGACGACCCTCTCACTGACGTAAGTCCCACAACGAGGCCCTATTAGACTCTCATTACCCAAAGTTGCTCATAAAATCGTCTCGTTCAAAGGACGATGAGGACGAAGACTCCGAGGACGACAGCGATGACGAGGACACTGCTGCTCTCCTTGCTGAGCTTGAGAAAATCAAGAAAGAACGGGCCGAAGAACAGGAGCGCAAAGTAAATGAGCTCTGTGATCCAGATGGAAAAAGGGTCTTTCTGTACGTTTGCTGCATTTGTTTCCTTTATATTTCAGGACCGAGAGCAAAAGGCTGAGGAGGAAAGGATTCGGATGGAAAATATCTTGAGTGGCAATCCATTGATCAATTTGGCCGGGCAACAGCAGCAGGCCCCAACGCCGACTACATTCAGGGTCAAGAGAAGGTAAATTGTTGACAAAGGGACATTATATTGTACTAGTGGGTCCAAACATTTGACTTGATTTATAAATGCATAAGAAAGGTTGCTATTTTACACCCTTTGCAAACAATTATCTTCAGATAATATGTTCATTTTCTTTTCAGATGGGACGACGATGTTGTGTTCAAAAACTGCGCAAAAGGAGTTGACGAGGCACGGAAAGAGAAACGCTTCGTCAATGATACACTTCGATCGGAATTTCACAAGAAATTTATGGAAAAATATGTCAAATAAACGTCCTGTGTTTTCCTGATATCTTTTTTTTTTTAATCTTATGACTTTGGTTTTCTCCATTTGGCCTAACGGTGATGGATGAGATTTTACAAAAACCCTTGAAGTTGTAGACTGGTAAATTGCTGTATATAAGTGAGTGGCAACTTTCAACTTTAAGTAAACCTGAAAAAAAGTTTAAAAAAATTAAATGTGACTCAACATTTCCTTCTATGGTTTGCTTTATTTCAATAAAAACTTAAGTGACTCAATTCTTTCTTTGTGAGGAGACTTCTCTCTGCAGACAAAACGGCCAGAAGACTCACCAATACACGTGACACTGGAGTTTTAGGTTGCCATGGGAATCAAACATTTTTCGAAATTCCAAGGTGATTCATTTAGCTAACAAAAAGAAAATAGCTGATTTAGATTGTTTAAATATAAATTAAGTATGTTTTATATATCCCATGATAACTGCACTTAAACTGAGCTTCAGCATTTAAATAAAATGTGGTCAAAGCAGCAGAAATGTCTTAAGTAAACTGTTTGATTATATACTGAATGGCAACCGTTTTTATTGATAAATAATACTCAAAGAGTTGTGCATTTTCATATGATGTCATAAATAGTTTTCGTGCATTTTCTTAGGGTGTAGCAGGAAGCATTTTGGGAAAAATTGGGGAAAAACAAGAATTTACAAAGATGCAAAATGCAGTGACATGTCATCAGCGCCGTGGACAGCCAGCAGAGGGCGCCATATTTTACAAAGCGGAAGGATTTGGGAGGGCTCTTGGAAAAGATGGCAGCTTCCTTTTGTTTGTGGGGATTGGCCGTTCTCGCAGGCAAGCTTTAAAGGAAATCTTTCGTGGAAACCCGGGCACCCAGCCTCTCCCTCGGGGTTCAGCTACGAGTAACTGATACAGTTGAACTGGGAGAACATGGAGAAGAGCGGGAGCATCGACAGTCTGGGCTCGAAGCCTCCCTCATCCCGTCAGCCAAGTGTTGATTCATTGTCCAGGTAGCTAAAGTCTCCACGACTAATGTTATTTAAGATAGTTAAAAGTTTTTTTAACCCACCTCCGAGTTACTTTTTAGGCAGTATATGTGATGTTGACGTGTGTTGTTCCAATGTAAGGTTGTTGAACCTTTAGAAATTAGAGTAAAATTACCATTAATGTTATCAGAGTTGTATAATGTCCCAGGACGGCCACCGTTCATGTCATCTGGTCATGACTGTGTGGCGTTTTTTGTTTTACCTCACCATTCATTTTATAAAGCATTTATATAGGCAGTATAATTCTAATGTGGCTATCAGAAGTGTCGGGGTTCCTGAAAGATGACGCACAGTCATTTGCCTTCTTTGGGAGGAAAAACAAGGCAGCTCCTCCAGAAAAAGTACTGAACACACAGTCATCATCTGAAGTTTTTTTTACCATAAAGTATGTTGCTTTGAATAAATCCCAGTGGGACACCTGCATTCACATAACAGTGACAAACAGCAGAAAATCAGATCAGCAGCACACGAAACCAGGAAAACCAGGAAATCTTTTGATTAGCTCAAGCTATTTTTCTATTACTGTAAATTCACCACTTATACCTGTTAAACACTGTTCACCACCACCCTCATGAAAACAATAAGAGGGGACAGGTTCCTTTCTAGTAATTTTCTAGGGAGTTTGCGCTGCTTTAGAGATGTTCTGATGGTGTATTGTGGCTCAACACTATAGTTGTTTAAAACTTATTTGTACCTTAAGTTGTACGTGTCGAGGAATAACAAACTATGACAAATTATATGATTACATTTTCCACCAGCAGATAAAGTACGTAATTTGAAAAAAAATCCATCTTTACCTTGTCGTCTCTCATTAGTACTTCCACTTCCCGCTCGGACAGATCAGCCCAGGCCAAACCGCCATCTGCTTTGTCCTCCGACTCGGTGTCAACCTGTGCCGAGTTTTCTCCAGAGCTCAGGGTTGGTAGTCTGTATACTGCTCACTGATATCTAGCACCCTCCTTGAAACGATTTCTCACAATATTCATTTTATGTGCCCCACAGGTCAAACCTAAAACCACTGCCAAGGTATGTAATTGTGCATATGTACTGCTCAGTCACGCCTGAGGTGAAAGTGACTGCTCTGTATTTTGAGAGTGAAATTGTCTCTGATGTTTCCAGAGGGTGCTGAGGGATTCCGATAAAGAAGAACCACAGTTACTCCCAAATGAGACTGTGCAAGATTCAGGTACTCTTTATCCCCTGCTTTCACTCACTCTTCTGATCAAATGTATCAAATCCAAATAGATCTTCCTGATTGCCACCACTACTGATCTATTTGTATTTTGTGACTGAATCAGCATCATTTTCTTGTTTGTTCTGCAGCTCAAGATATCACCTACTTCTGCCCCTTCACTGGAGCGCTGAGGGGAAAAGTCATAGTTACCAACTACAGGCTTTTCTTCAGATCCATGGACAGGGTGTGTGGGGTGAATATTAGGAGGAAAAAAGACTTGTCATTTTAAGGGATTAATTTGTCGTTGGTTATAGGAGCAGGCTTTTGTGCTGGATTTGCCTCTGGGGGTGGTGAGTCGTGTGGAGAAGATTGGAAGCGCCTCGAACCGCGATGTATCCTATGGAGTGGTCTGCAAGGTGAATGGGGCGTTGACATAAACTGGAACAGCAGCAGTAGTGTGATGATTACAGTTTATCGATGACAAGTAGGGAGGTAGAACATTTAGACTCAGAGCTGTGTAATCAATTATATTCTGAATAATTGATTTAAGAAAAAACAAGCCTTACTGGTTAGTGCGGCAATACTGCTATGAATTGGGATGTTGAACAGCTGTGAGTGCGGGGCTCTGACCCCGGCCTGTTGCTCTGGCTCTCACCAGGATATGCGTAATCTGCGTTTTGCACATAAACATCTGGAGGACACACTGAGGAAGTCGATTTTCGAAGTGCTGATTAAATTTGCATATCCTGTTTCCAACGGGCTGGTAGGCTTCACAGACACCCTGAAACACTGTCACTCTCCATGTTGTCACTCTCAGATTTCCATCTGATAAGTGTCTTCTCGGTTCTCCGCAGCAAATATTTTCCTTTGAATACGGGCAAGTGTTTCCTGAAAACGGATGGAAGGTGTATGATGCTGCCACAGAGTACAAAAGACAGGTACTCCGAGTCTGAATGAGTCATGAATGCATGAATGTTGTCGTGTTTTTTAATTTCTATGTCCTTTGGGGGATCAAGGGCATACCTAACGAAAGCTGGAGGATCACAAAAGTAAACGATCACTACGAGCTGTGTGACACCTACCCATCAACTCTGGCAGTACCTGTCAACATTCCAGATGAAGAGCTGAAGAGGGTGGCTGCCTTTCGAGCAAAAGGCAGGATACCCGTGAGTGACTGTTTTTCATTGTTAACATCCTCATCCTCTGCTACACAATAGGCCATGCTCATGTTCTTTTCCGTTGGGTGCGCAGGTGTTGTCGTGGATCCACCCGGAAAGCCAGGCCACAGTGACACGCTGCAGTCAGCCGATGGTCGGGGTGAACGGGAAGCGCAACAAAGAGGACGAGAAGTATCTCCAGGCCATCATGGATGCCAATGCTCAGTCCCATAAACTTTTCATTTTTGATGCCAGACCCAGCGTCAACGCCGCTGCTAACAAGGTTAGGGCTGCAGGCAGGAAACCTCACAACTTGACTGGTGCTTTCAGATCAATCTATCTTTATCTTAATCTTTATTTCTAAAGGACTTTTCACAGAAAAATAACATGCATCATATAAAAAAAGGAAAGGAGAAATTAAAATAAGAGGGAAAAAAACACCACTTCACCCATCCAACTCCCTAAACCACCAGCCCTTAGTCACACATCCACACAGACACAGGATTTATGTTTTCTAAAAGATATTTAGATGAGGTTTGAACAGAAATCTTTGTGTTTATAGTGCAGAAAATGGAGGCAGATATGGACTCATTGTTTGCAGAAGTTTTATTTGAAACAACATCGATGTCTTTCCATTATTTATCATTTTAATAGAATGATTGACTTACGCAGTCACTGGACGTACAGACAATGTTTGTTGTTTTTAAAATCATCTGTGTGAGATGACATGGTGCAGAAATGTAGATCTAATGTCTGAATCAACTGAGTGCATTAACCAGATTTTCATGTTTTAGGTTTTTTTTCTTTTTTTGCGCTCAATCGTTTTAACGGAGAAAAGTCAAAAAGGTGGTTTAATGACTTGCTTAGGAACATAATTTAGCTAAATAATCAGCCGTTTGTTTTTGTGTTCTTGTGTCCTGTTATGATCTGAGGAGAGCTGACTTTAATAAGCCCCTTGTCCGTCACAGATGAAAGGTGGTGGATACGAAAGTGAGGATGCATATCAAAACGCTGAGCTCGTATTCTTGGATATTCACAATATCCATGTAATGAGGGAGTCTCTCCGCAAGCTGAAAGATGTGGTCTACCCCAATATCGAGGACTCGCACTGGCTTTCCAATCTAGAGTCGACTCACTGGCTGGAGCACATCAAGGTGAGCGTGTTCCACCTCAGACCATCGCAGAGGAGCCAGCGCTGCCTGGGTCCGTCATGTTTGGGCCTCTTTGTGTGTTTGCAGTTGATCCTGGCAGGAGCTCTGAGGATCGCAGACAAAGTGGAGTCGGGGAAAACGTCGGTGGTGGTGCACTGCAGCGATGGCTGGGACCGCACCACTCAGCTCACCGCCTTGTCCATGCTGATGCTGGACGGCTACTACCGCACCATTCGCGGCTTCGAAGTGCTGCTGGAGAAAGAGTGGCTGAGCTTCGGCCATCGCTTCCAGCTGGTACGCCCTTTCTGCCGTGGAAATGCTGGTGGCTCATTCTGGCACAGTAGCTGTGGTTGTTTCAATGGTGTCCTTCCTCTGATTCTGCCAGCGCATCGGTCACGGTGATAAGAATCACACGGATGCAGACCGTTCGCCTGTTTTCATCCAGTTTATCGACTGTGTCTGGCAGTTGACTCGCCAGGTAAGGAAACGGTCTGAATCAGTCATTTGAATAAAAAAAAAAAAACTGCTTTGAAATGTAATAATACATTATTTTTCTCATTGAAGTTTCCTGCAGCTTTTGAGTTTAATGAGAATTTCCTGGTAACCATCCTGGACCACCTGTACAGCTGTCTGTTTGGGACATTCCTGTGTAACAGCGAACAGCAGAGGATGAAGGAGGTGAGCCCCTGTCATTTCCCTTCAAGAACTGCGGATACACTGGTGTCCATGTCTGAGCAGAATGGCTGTCTGTCTGACAAACAGAATCTGAAATCAAAGTTACATCAGAGGTGTGAAGTGCTCTGCTCAGTGCATTAAAAGCTAACTCTGCTTTTGTCTTCTTCGATACAGGAGATTCCTAAGAGGACCGTCTCACTCTGGTCTTATATTAACAGCCAGCTGGAGGAGTTCACCAATCCTTTGTATGTGAACTACTCGAACCATGTGCTGTTCCCTGTTGTTAGCTTACGCCACCTGGAGCTTTGGGTTGGCTACTACATCCGCTGGAACCCTCGCATGAGACCTCAGGTATGTCACCGAACCTGCCTCTCGTTTACCTTTCCATTTCCTCGCACGCATCAACTCTTTTCTGTTCTCTCCAAGGAACCCATTCACCAGCGCTACAAGGAGCTGTTAGCGAAGCGCGCCGAGCTTCAGAGAAGAGTCGACGAGTTACAGCGGGAAGTGACCAATCGCTCAGCGTCCTCTTCCTCAGAGAGAGCGGGCTCTCCAACGCGCTCCATCACCCCAGTGCAGACCTTTGTTTGACACAGCCTGATGCTTGTGGCCACCACAGAAGCAGGGTTCTACCTGTTAGAAAGACTGGTGCCATATCATTTGAAATGCTACGGCCAGCTGCGAAGGACATGTGTGCCTCCACTCCACATTGACACACACTAAAGACAAATCTGGATAACTGAAGTATTAGCTTTTCTCACAGGTTCCAGTCTGTCTCAGACTAGTGGGCAACTGCTATAAAGTACTTTTCCCCCTGTGGTGAGAGGGCATGTGACCAGAACAGGGAGGACTGTGTTGCCTATTTAGTCTACAATCAGTGTTCAGATACCCTAAATATCACTCGGGTTATATGTTAATGCCTTATATTCTTCATGGTGACACTCACTTTGCTCCTTGATATCAATGCAGAAACACTACAGCTGATAAATGAAAATCAATAGCAATAATAAAGCTTAAGCAGACTGGAACTTAAACCATCTAGTCAGTTTGGGAATAGTTAAAACACTGATTTTAAATCGTTAGCTAAAGGTCTTGTGTGCTAGTTTGTTCTCCTGATACTGATTAACAGACAGTTCGCATCACGAGAAGTTGAGATGCTCTTCACAGATCAGTCATTTTGTACTGTTTACGTTTGTAAGTTTAATTTTTCTAAGTAGCTAACATGTACTATCTTTTAGACCAGCTTTGTATTTATAACTCTCAAATGTTGTTCACTTCCTAAATGAATTGTAAATGTTCCCATGCAATACTAATAAGCTGGAAAAATATGCAACAGAAGTTATTTCCTGAGTTTTTGAACGTTTATGTAGCTTTCTTATTCCAGCTTGTACTTGTTTTATCAGCAGAACACATAACACCTTGATAGATCTGTCTTTTTTTGTTTAATGTGTGCCTTTCTTGAACAACTAAGAGTGTAACAACATTAATATGTGCAGATTGTAACATCACACATTAAAAACACTATAACTATTGTGCCTTTCCACTGCATATGTGAATACTTTCATGAACATGGGACTCATTCGACTTACCGGTTTATTTGTGAGGAAATGTGAGACCCTCCTTAGGTTTACTAGTTCAGATGGGGTTTAAATGTTACCAATACAGCACTAGCATTAATTCCAACAGCCTTCGGGTGCTGCATCGCCAGATTAAAAACACTTTTTAAAAATAAAAACACTTGGATACAGTGTTGCCAACTCCTCAGTAAGGAAAGTAGCTATTGGCTCTGCTAAAAGTCGCTAGAAGTCGCCAAATGACGTCATCGCTGGACGGTCGCTCTTTAAGGAATAAAAAATACCAACGGGCTGCAAACTAAGAAGACCTTACGAGACGAGGACGAAGAAGTGTCTGGAAGCAGCTGTGGACGCGGAGCGGTTCTCTCTAAATGAGACGGAATGGACGGCGGCGGGGATAACGTGGCTCATGAATCTGCGGGTAGCTACACAATTCTCCTGTTTGTCTTTAGCTGAGGACGCATGCTTAAAACATAAAGCTAGCAGCTGCCTTACCTTCTAACGCGGTATTACACTATAATAAAGTTTACTTTGGCCGTCTCTAGAAAAACGTGAAAGTGGGGCTCCACCATCTTTTGATTTCTGGGGTTTTACTTGCGCGGGAACGATGAAAACGAATCCCGTCCTCAAACTAAACGAGTTCGATATAAACCAAGAAAGCAAAAACGCCTCTCGTTCAGTTAATTATTTAGCAAAATTCAGGAGCTTGGAGCAGGAGTGTGTTTACACAATGTCAAGGAGGAAAGACATCAGCCATAACCTAAGAGTCATCTGGATTCCACCACCCCTTAGAGAGAGAGTTTATTCACAGGTGAAGACATTCAGGATGGCTGCCAGTTTGTCCAACAAGGTCACCCCTAGCTCATCCATCCCAGATGATCCGAGCAGGTTCTGCAGCACCAGGACCTTAAAGTCCACCAGGAACCCCCCAGGAACCCAAAGTGTTCAGAGTCAGACGGGAGGCCGTCTGTCCCACAGCTGAAGCTGGAGCCAGCCCCCCAACAGGACTGAGATCCAAACCCGGCAGCAGAGCCGTGCAGGAACCTCCATGAGCTGAATAGCTACAGGCAGCAGAGAGGGACAAAAGTCCTCCACAGCCATCGCAGAGACTGAGAGACCACCAGAAACCAGTTTCTAAACTGGCTGCTTTGGGTCTGCTCTCAGTTTTTGTTCCATAAATAAACCAGACAGTGTCTTCTGTCACATGATCCTGTTGTCTCTTTAGGTTCCCTCAAATTTAGAACCTGACAGGATCCAAATGAGGAGGGAAAAGGAAATGTGTCCATTTCAGGAGCATAGTTTGATGACATCGTTGTGGTTGAACTGATGGTTTTTATGTACAGCTGTCGATGGCTCAGCTGGTCCACAGATTTCTTCCTCACTAAACTTTGTCTTCTAGGAAAGGACAGGTCCAGACGATGGATTACTCGGGGGACCTCGTGAAAGTGACCTCATCAAACGGGTCGCAGTGGACGGCCCAGAAGGTAGAGCCTCTGAAACCGGCCCACTGGGTTACAGGACCAAAGGCTCTGGGTTCAGGTTGATCTCTAAAGCAGCAGATGACAAAAGATTTCACCTCTGATCCGGTTCAGTTAAGCCGTCAGGATCCAGGTATTCCAAATGGGTCCAGCTCGTTCATAACCAAGGACACCAGCAGAACCAGGAAGAGATCTCCATCAGGACCAGAACCAGGAACAAACCTCCATCAGAACCAGAAGAAACCTCCATCAGAACTAGGGAAAAAGTTAATCAGAACCAAAACCAGGACAGGATGATATGGGGGACAGAAATACGTTTGATTCAGGGCAGGTTCTGTTCATGGATCCAGTCCTCATCGGGCTGCTTTCTCTTCCAGGTTCTGGTCACCGTCCCGCTGACCCTGCTCCAGAGGGGCCTCCTCCACTTCCACCCCCCCCTTCCTGAGAGGAAGCTGAAGGCCATCCACAGCTTGGGAGCCGGCATCATCGAAAAGGTACCTCCCATCCCCGCCGGCCCGCCTCCAGAGGCTGTCGGTGCCCAGCAGCTAAACCTCAGTCCGAACGTCCCGCAGATCGCTCTGCAGTTCCCGACCCGGTTCTGGGACTCCAAGATCCAGGGAGCCGACTACTTTGGTCACATCCCGCCGGCACCGGAAAAGCGAGGCCTGTTCAGCGTCTTCTACGACCTGGACCCTCAGGTATGTTTTTAAAGCCATGACCAAGGAGGAGCCGACTGGTTCTGGATCAGAGGGTCGGCTCCTCCCCCTCAGGGTCACTGAGGCATCATGGGAGTCTGAGTATCTGCTCCAGATGTGTGTGTTTAGACTGGGAGGAGAATGAAGGACCCAGTCCTGTGAGGTTCTGGGTATCCGATCCCTGAAACCAAGCTCAGACCCTTTGAGGCCCTGGCTGATGTAACTGTGTCCAACAGGGGAAGCAGGCGGTGTTGATGTCGGTCATCTCTGGCGACGCCGTTCCTGCTGTCTGCGAGCTGGAGGACCAGGAGGTGGTGGGAGAGTGCCTGAAGGTCCTGAGGGAGCTTTTCCCCGAGCAGGTGAGCACCGGTCAGGGGTCCGGTCGGCCACAGCATAGAGGGTCAAGGGTCAGCTGAGACTACCAGGGGAGCAACTAGCTACATGCTGAGGGGTATGCAGACTCATTATTATCATGTTGGAGATCTGATTGGACGCTGCATAAACTCAGTTAAGACATCTAAACTCAAGTGTATCATTCCCCAGTTGAACCATCTCCCTGCTTAAGATGCTGCCCCCCAACCCGACCACAGATAAGCGATGGATGATGGAAGGGTAGAAAACTAAAGGGTTATTAACCCTTTCCTGGCCCCACAGCCCCGACCTCTGCTTGTATCTCCATTCATCCCTGTGGAGGGATCACCCTCAGCCCTCCCTGTGATCATCGGCTCTTTGGGCCACTTCTCTCATATTTATCAGCATCAGAACCATTAACTATGCAGCTTAAAACACACCTGATTTCTTAGAGGTCAGAACCAAACCAGGAGAGGCTTCATTTCAGTTTGATGCTCCTCAAATCTGAATCGGTCTTCTTGAAGAGGTGAAACAGGGTTACTACAGCTGAATTTTTTTTAGCCTTTAATCTATTTATTTTATTTGGTTAAACTTATTTTTATTTGTTTTCTTTATCTTCATTCTCTGCTTTTAAAATGTAAGGTACTTTGAGTTGTCGTGGACACAAAACTCAAACTGTAACATAAACCTGTCTCGCCTCATTTTGGATGGGATTTCCCCTCCGCTTGTGGATTAAAGGTCCTCTTCCTCCCACAGGACGTCTCAGACCCTGTGAACTACTTTGTGACCCACTGGAGCAAAGACAGGTGGTCTCAGATGTCCTACAGCTTTGTGAAGACGGGCGGCAGCGGGGAGGCCTACGACGTGCTGGCCGAGGACGTGCAGGGAAAGCTGTTCTTCGCCGGAGAGGTAACTCTCCTGCCTCCTCCTGAGCCGCCCAACGCCGCCATTTGGCAGCTCGTTTTCACGCTTTGCTTCACACACACCTGAACCAGCACAAACCCAGAGATTCAACCGGCAGCAGTAAGAATCCTAAAACCAGGCACCAATCGGGTGCTGAAATTAAAACCAGATCAAACGCAACATCTGGCAAAAGTTTGAATTACTCCAAAATGTCACAGCTCCTGTAATACACAGAGAAGGAAGATGATTACTAAATGGAGTAGATTTGGATTCAAGCTGAAGCCCAAAGGCAACAGAAACTTGGTGTTTTTGCTGTGTACAACAAGCTGGCCAGAGGGGCTGAATTCCTGTTTTCTGTTCCGGCCAATCAGGGAGTAGAGCTCTCTTCTTCTTTGGGCTTTTTTCCTCTGGTCAGGATTAACTGACTTTCAGACAATCGACGATCTCTGACCCCTCGACTGACCCCTCCCCTTAAGAAGTTTCAGGATGAGAACAGAGATTTCTTTTAGCTCCAAGAAGTCCATCTGCCTGCCCAACCCAAACTACCTCAACCAGTTGGTGACAAAAGAAATGAGAAAATAAAATGAACT